GTTTAGGGTTTAGGGCTTAGAGCTAGGAGCCCTAGTAACCTGAGACGAAGCAGCGTTCCCTTTTTTGGGTATTGGGTGGTTTTGTAAGAAACCAAAAGGACCACGAAATGGGAAAAAAGTGCCCAATGGGAGACCCGGATGGGGTTTAGGGTGGTAGAGCTGTTTTCCGAAGGACCGAGCTACTCTGAAAGAGGGTCGAACGAATTCAGACTAAGGCGGAATAGCTGCTTCAAGGCCCAAACATGCCCTAAACCCTAAACCCTAAACCCTAAACCCCAAACAAAACCCTGGACTCTCGGCAAGCGTCTCACGAAGAACTGCGACCACGTTCGTCGGACACATCATCTTCGACAAGCTCGCCGCACAGGACTCGGCAAGCTGCGCCAGCCCATACCTGGGGACTCAAGCCCCTTTACCCTAGACCCGTTAGCCCTGTCGTGACAGAGCCCGAAACCCCTAAACCAAGGAAGAAAACTTCACAATTAGGGCTCCGGGGTTTAGGGTTGCTTCTCCCGGAATGTAAACATAACCTCTCAAGCCGCAAACATGTAAGCCAAGACCCAGACCCGGAAAACCGGTTTTGACCTTTAGGGTTTAGTAAATCACCGTGGACTCTCAAACCCTGAAAAACCCCTCCACATGTAATCTTGGAAAAAAGTAATCTCGCAAACACCCTGACGTAGGCCCGAAAACCCTAAGGCTCTGAGGACTCATGCTTTAAGGCTTTTGGGCCCAATGGGACCACGGCACTGGTTACCGAGGCAGATCAGTTCCCCCAGCTCCTGGACGGAATTGCTCTCCTGGGCTTCACAGATCTTCCAAACTCCCTCATCAAGGGGCTCAAGGAGGGACCCTTAAAGGGACCCTTGGGGTTATTTAGGGGCTTTATGAGACTATATAAGGGGTTTATAAGGGTTATATAGGGTATTTGGATTAGGGGTCCTTCTAGGGGTCCCTCCTATTGTCCCTTAACTTCAGGGCTCAGTAATAATAGTAGGATTCCACATATGATTTAAGGTATATACCTCAGTTCTAGTAGGATCTCAAATAATTATGTTTACAGATATATTCCTTGATTGATTCAAGGATTTTGGAAACTCTGAGCTGCGGGCTTTGGGTCAGGGCACTCACACTCGGACAAGCCTGGCGAGGTTATTGGTGCGTAGTGGATTGAGATGTCAGGGGTTTAGGGCAGATGGGTGTTTAGGGTTTTTAATTGCTTGGAGGTTCGTGGCTGAACGCTCTAGGGCTCAACGTGTTTGAAGGTATTTGGGTGTTCCCAACAGTAGGGGACCCTAATATAGTACCCTAAATAATAGGATCCCTATTATAAGAACCCCAACATAAGGTACCCCCTAGTTTTCTGAAACTCCCATTTGGGGCTGAAGGTCGATGGTGTCTAAGTCGTGTAGGGGTTTACGTTTTTGGGGTTTAGGGGTTTAGGGGTCTAGGGTTTAGGGTTGAGGGTTTAGGGGAGTGTGAAGACGCAAAGCAAAACACACAACGGAATTGCAAGACCTCACCAACTCTCACTTCACCCTTACTGTAGAAACCCCGAACATGTGCCTAAGAAACTCCGAGGACAGTCAAAGCATCTGGGGCTTCCCCGGTGTAGATGTGCTCTAGCAACCTCGGTGTTTTTTTTCTCCTTTGCTTGGGGTGTTCTTGTTTAGCAACTAGGTCTGTTGATTCCTTGTCCAGCTCTCAGGTGAGGGCTTTCGGTATCCTTTTGGTTTAGGAGTTTAGGGCTCACCTCAAACCTCCAACCCTAAACCCCAAAACTCCTAAAGCTCTAAGCCGACCTACAGCTGGAGGCACCGGATGTAGGAGTCTGTACACAGGCACTCTGCTATCCACGGTCCGGATATCGGATCGCTCGTTTTCTGGTCTAGCTGGCGGTCCAAGAGATCCTTCGGAAACTGGCGGTTTGTCTTTTGTGGGGCGGCTCTTGTGCAAAGACTTTACGGCTTAGGGCTTGGGGTTTGCTCTGCTAGTGTGGCAGATGCTTCGTTGTTGGAGGCAGTACAGTGGCACCAGTTCGTGTTCTAGCACTCTCGAAGCCACGGTTGCCCTTGGAGAATCGTTAAGAGCGGCTGCCAGTCAGACAAGCGAAAGGAGTATGCAACAGCAGTGGCCAAGCAGTGCTGGAGTAACACTTGTTGCGCTTGAAGTCTCAGAAGACAAAGCCCCAGTCCAAGTTAAACCCTACAAACATTGTAGAGGACATCGGTAGTTCTCTAAATTAAGGGTCCATCGCCCTCGTTTGCC